AGTTCAACCTCTCTTTTGCAGTAATGTCTGCAGTCATTTTTGCAGGGTCTTCAGCTCAGTCCGTTGGCATTTCCGTGACATTTTCCTACATTGTATTCCGGGTAATTTACGATTCTGTCTTGAGCTAGTTTGTGAAGTTATCGGGATTGTGAATCGCTGTGATTTATAGCATGAATTATGAAAGTAGTTAAGTTTAAAGTGACGAGAAACGTATTGATTGTGAAATTACTGTGTGCTAAAAGTTTGTATCGAGGAAGAATAAACTGGTTTAACCAAGAAAGGACTTGTATCGCTGGAGTTTCTCAGAAAGAATTTCTACCGGAAATTAACAAACAAGCAGATACGCAACAACTGTATCAGTAGAAGTAGATTTGACATGAAATAAAGTTTAAAGACGTTTAACATGACATCACGCAGATAAGGCAGTGTCTAGTGAAGCAATACTGTATCTGACACGAAAAATATGACACAAACTATACTGAAGTCTAATTGATAAACATAATTAAATGCATTTATTTTGGAATCAATTCATGTGATGATCACTTAAAACCAAGGATCACAAAACTTACGAAAATTTATGTGTAGACTTTTACTTATTCGTTACTTTAAAAACTTACAAATAACAACTGATATTAGTGAAGTGAAAATGTTTTACAAGTTTCTATGAAAGGAAGATATGATGCCAAGTGAGTCTGATGTAAAGGATCTCTTTTATGATGCCAAGTGAGAGTGATGTAAAGGATCTCCTATATGATGCTATATTATATTGATGTAAAGGATGTCCTATATGATGCCAAGTGAGTCTGATATAAAGGATCTCCTTCATGATGCTATATTATATTGATGTAAAGGATGTCCTATATGATGCCAAATTAGATTGGTGTAAAGGATCTCCAATACGACGCCAAATTAAATTGATGTAAAGGATCTCCTTTATGATGCCAAATGAGGTTGATGTAAAGGATCTCCTATATGATGCCAAATTAGATTGATGTAAAGGATCTCATCGTTAAAAAGAGAGATTCTTAAATTACAATAAAACTCGACCTGGAGTCTCTCTCTTCCTTCTTTTTTGGGCCTGGCATGGCCTGATGGTTAGGACACTCGACTCGCATTTTGCGGGTTTCGTGTTCGAATCCCCTTTGCCGAATATGCTCGCCCTTTCAGCCGTAGGGCGTTATAATGTGACAGTTAATCCCACTATTCGTTGGTAAAAGAGTAGCCCAAGATTTGGCGGTGGGTGGTGTTGACTAGCTGCCTTCCCTTTAGTCTAGAGCTAATTTAGGGACAGCTAGCGCATACAGCCCTCGTGTAGATTTGCGCGAAATACAAATCAAACCAAACCTTCTTTTCTATAACTGTTGTGATAGGTATAAAAATTAATAGTAAATTGTATAGTCGCTTTATAAGAAATATAGTTGTCTCCTGGTGGGACAGCTATAAGTCTACAGAATTACAGCGCGAAAATCTGTGATTCTACTCTCCGCGATAGACACAAAAGTTAGTCCAATGTAACTCTAAAAATAATGCAAGAAATAAAGTCAAGACTTTAGTTTTGAAAATGACACAAAATATGTGAAAATAGAATCATCTTTATTCAGTTACACTTCTTGTTTCTTCGTATACCTGATAACTTTTTATCAAACACTATTTTTCAACGCAGATTTTTACAATTTAATTATAGATTAAGAATAGTTGTGAGTATCTCTGTTTAATCATAAATCAAACCACAAGTATTGATAAAGTTAAGTAAGAATATAATAGTCACTGCGGCGTAACAGAGCAGGTATGAAAGTACAAACGCTCTCTTCATCGCACTAGACTTCAGAATGCCAGTGGATACACATTGTGAGGGAAAACTAGTACGCTGAATATCACGGGAATCTACTGCAACCAAACAGATTTGGTAGCTGAATTTAGGCTTAAGATTATCTACAGTATATTCTCGAAGTTCGTAAGGAAGGTTAAAGTGCGTGTACTCATTACCCGTCGCCTCCTGGCGGATGACAACTCTAAATCCAGCCACATCCTCCCTAGTGACAACGTACCATACAAAACGCACAGAACCAGGCTGTTTGTGCTCTAATCCCCGAAATTTGAGATCTGGTTTCGGTTGAAAGCCAAGGTTTGAATCCCCTTTACACTGGAGCTCTGATTCTTTCAACGATACGACAGACTTGCTGGCCAGTAATGGTGGTTCTTGACACAGTACGTGTTCCCATTCTGACACATTTGTTTGACTACCAATCCAGTTTCTCAAAGGTCTCATACGGCAATCGCAATGTAGAGGATTGTCTAAAAATACATAAGTTTTATGTGATTTAAAAGTCTTTATACATGAGTTGTGTAATATACAAGTCTAAAACATAAATTATTGTGTAATACACGAAGCAAATTTCTTAATACATAAGTATAAAAATAAGTTGTGTAGTTCGGAGATTTTGATACATAAGACCTAAGTTATTGTGTAGTTCAGGAAGCACAGATTTTAATACATAAATATAAGACATAATTTATAGTGTAATTCAGAAATCTTAATATATATCGGTCTAAGACATAAGTTAATATGTAATTCAGGAAGCAGAGGTCTTAATACTTAAGTCTAAAACGTAAGTTATTGTATAATTCACAGATATGAATAAACAAGTTACAAACCATATTATAGAAATGGGCACTTCGAATAAAAAAAGGTTAAATAAATATTATATTAGGCCAAATTCATGTAAGGGAAACATTACACTACGAACACAATAATGTTACAGAAACAATGTTGTACGAATAAAAAATATTACAGAAACTATATACTGCGAATAGACAATGTTACAAAAATAATGTTATGGAAACAATACATAAAGAACAAATAATTCTAATAGAACCCATAAGTGAAAGCATAGGAGAATATGTTATAATATCCTACCAACACTACATCTATATCCAGTGTCGATGAGGCCTTTCAACCAATACCAAGGCTCATCACGCCTGCTGGAATACAACAGATAGAGTAGTGTTATGGGCGTTATTTATAACATCAATTTCATGAACAATGGAGTCGTAATTTAACTAGATTACGTAAGTGAATTATAATTATTATCATAATATTTAAGTCATTTACTAATGTTATGGAAGTATTACATTAACAATGTATTGAATTATTGTGTAGCTTAAAAGGCCTTATTTGTAAAACTGGAAAATCAAAATCAGAATAGCTTTAAGGGCTTTCATAAAATTAAAACATCGTTTTATGAAAAATGTATCTTTTGGAAAGTTCTGCTCTTACTTTGTATAAATGTTTTAAACTACTTTTCATCAAACATTTATATATGTTCATCATGCTTAAAACAATGAAAAATTATTTGTTTTCTCTGACTCCAGCGTTCTATGTTTTCATAAGATTAGTATTGCAATATTCCCTTGATGTTTTTTGAGGTTTTTGTGTCATTGTTTATACTACTTTTGTGTTGTTGTTTCGAACCTTAACATCTATAACCACTTTGAGATCTTTGTTTGTTTCATGTTGCTATTAATTCTTTGTAGCTAAAATAGATGGCGCTACCGCAATGTAATTATCATCATAATGTGAAATAGGTGAGTTGAAAACTAAAGTTTTCATATATAGTAAATGAGCTCTATACAATAATAACTTCAGAGTAATCTATGTACTTAAGACGAAACTAAAAATCAATCAGTATAGCTAATTAAATACACTGTTTCTACTTATAAAGACTAGATGTATGGTTTCATCAATTGGGTACTCTCGCTGTTAACGATATTTTTGGCCGCAATCCCAATAATATTTCACGAATTTCGACCTTAGAATATTTAGGTTAGTCCCATATATATATCAAGTGACAATGAAAAAAGTTTTTATAATGAAAGTAGTAAATTAAAATATAAAGTATTGACATTCGACTTAGTAACTAGTATAGAGAATGCCGTTAAAGAAAGTAACACTAGATAAATAATGTATTTTTTGGAATTTTACTAAAGTTTGACACTTTTTTTTATATCTCTACAAGTCGACTCAAGAGTTGAATTCTAGATCTAGACTTAAACTACTACTTATAAAATGTAAATAGTAGGTCCTCTTTGTACATTGTTATCAAAACTGTTAGTAAACAGACTGGAATGATTTCCATCTTGGAACTATGACTCATATTAATTAGTTATAACAACACTTTCAGTGTAAAGAGACTTTACCTAGAGGTATGTTTGACATTTTATGTATAGAAATAGTTTAGAACAACGTATGGATAATCGTCCTATGTTTCGATATATACTTATTTACCCACAATTCAATATTAGTAACCAATAAGATCCTTAAAGGTGATAAATATCGACTGAGTAAACAGTACCCTTACCTCTGTAATAAACAGTAAATCCTTCTTTCATTTTCGGTAAAAGTTCTTCGTAAAAGAAGAACATCTGGTTATTCCGGAGATCCAACGTTTTTAGCTGACGCATGGCCACAAGTTCATTAACACTGATAGACCCCAGCCTGTTGTTACTAAGATCGAGAAGCGTTAAATTTGGCAAGTTTCCGAAACCCCCATTAGGGATCTTTCTTATTTGATTGTACGATAGGTCCAAAATCTGGAGGCGAGTTATGTTACCTAATATTCCTGGTTTGACATCATTGATCGTATTATGACTTAAATTGAGATATTCCACTTGTGTTAGACCATCGTCAAAAGTTTCAGTTATTACAGGAATAAAATTATAGCTGAGATCAACATGTTTGAGCTTATACGGAATATATGGGGACTTCGGGAATGTTTTGTCCGTAATGAAAGAGATACGGTTATAAGACAAGTTCACTTTTTCATTTGATAATAGGTCATCCAGAACCCCGTGAGTTTTGTTCTCTAGATTTGAAATATGATTGTGTGAGAGGTCTAGAATTCGTAAAGACACTAATCCCTTAAAAGCTTCGGGTGGGAGATCTGTAATGTTGTTATAGCTCATATTTAAATGTAATAATTGCAGCATTCCTTCAAAAGCGTGAACGCTTACGTTTTGAATATTATTAAATTCTAAACGTAAATGGAAAACAATTGGCAATCGGCCAAAAGCCTTTTTTTTTAATACGGTTATACTGTTGTTCTGGAAATAAAGATTCTGCAATGAACTCATATCTTCCAGCGCTTGCCAAGGGATTTCCTTGATATTATTATTGGCCAAAGACAGTGTGCGTAATGTTAACAGATGTCGAAAAGATCCTCTTTCGAGATGAGTCAGATTGTTACGATCTAAGTACAATAGAAGCAGGGAGTTCATCATAGGAAATGTCCCGGGACTAATATGATCCAGCTTATTCTCTTCCAAGTGAATCTCGCTTAGGACAACTGGAAGACCAAACATATTCTTGATCCGGTTGTTGTTGATAAAAAGTCTTTGGATAGATAGCAGTCTCGTGAAGGTCGCGTGACTAACATCCGATATGTTGTTATAACTCACGTCCAACTCAAGCAAGGTAGACAGTTTTCCAAATGAGCCATGACCCAGTTTCTGGAGTTGATTATGCTGAAGATAGATAGATCTTATACTGGCAAATTTTTCGAAAACATTTCCTGATATTTGGGAAATGTTATTATAACTCAGGTCTAGAGTGTGTACTTCGTAAAGTTTCTTAGTTGTCAAAGATACTCTATCCAACCCAGTTAATGAATTGTGACTGACATTCACAACTTTTAGCCCCGTGAGGTTGGATAGAGGAATTTGATGGCTTTCTGTTATATTGTTGTTGTTTAGACGAAGCTCAACAATGTCACACTTAAAAAACATTTGATCTGGTAGAGAAGAAAGGTTATTATGAGATAAATCGAACACCGAAACGTTCGTTAGCTGTTGAAAGGCCTTTTCACCAATTAGCGTGATCTGATTGTGACTGAGATCTATATTTACCTGATACATCTCCTTTAGTGCCCCTCCGGCAACTCTTTTTAACTTGTTATAACTCAAATCAAGATGTTCAAGCCATCTCATTTCACTGAACATATCATAGTTCAAACTGTCCAAAACGTTCCCTTGTAAATCCAGAGTTCTCAAATGACGTGGTACAGAGAAAGCCCTTCTCGAGATCTCGTTTATTAAATTCCCTCGAAAGTACACATCACGCAGAAATCTCACACCTCGAAACATGTAATTGTCGATCTTGTTCAGTTTGTTGAATGACATGTTGAAAACGCGAAGATAAGAATTCCTTGCAAGCATAGACAATGGAAGTTTTTCGATCTGGTTGCTAGAGCAGTTTAGAAACCACAAGTTTCGTAACACGTTAAAATCACTTCTTCCAAACGTTGTGAATTTATTATGAGAAATATCTAAGTACTTTACATTTCTTAAGGGAGTAAAAACAGCTCTCTGAAAACTTTTAAGTTCATTAAATTGAATATGAAGATGAACCAATTGATAAAGACCAGTGAAGGCTCTGGCTTCAATTTTCTTAATTCGGTTATGATCAAGGCGTAATTCTTTGAGAAGGTGTAAGTGGCTAAAGACCTGGTTTGGTATTATCTCAATCTGGTTGAAAGCCAGATTCAACGAGGTTATTTTTGGTGTCCTCCTAATCGCTAAGAGAGGAACAGCCCTTAAAAGGTTGCCTTCTAAATTCAAAGACTCCAGGGTTTCACCTATAGATTTTGTAATATTTTCTGAGATTTCTTCTATGTTGTTGTAGATAATTTGTAAGTTGTACACGGTCATGTTGTTAAGCAGACCACCAAACATTTTCACAATATAAGATTTTGAAATAACCAGATCCTCAAAAGGCTGCTTCACGTTTCCCAGTCCTATAGCCATCATAGCTAGATTTGCATTTTCACAATACACAGACAATCCCCTTTGCCCACCAGCTGTACACTTGCATGGGTAGAGAAAAAATTGATTTGTCGGGCATTTTAATTCCTTTGGTTGGGGTGTAGGAATGGGCGGAGAAGTTGTGGTCTTTTCTCCCAAGGTGAGTACTGTCTGTACAACCACTAGAAGCAGCAGCCTATGAACTATAACTACCATGGTACTGTCTTGATAATTGCCAGATCTCTGTGTAAACAAAAAACAAAAAAACATAATGCAAATATTTTATAATATATGTTTAAGTTTTCTATCTGTTTTTTATTCTCAGATATTTTAGAATCTGATTTTCCAAAAGCGACAGACGCTGTGACAAACTTCAACGTTATATAACAACTTGTGTTAATAGATATAAAATTTTTGACTTCTAAAAACCGCCTCTCTCTTGAGATAAAATGAGCTTTTTGTCTCTATAGAAAAATATACACAATACTAAAGGAAAAGAACTCTCAATGGAAAAATATACAGAAAGTTATAGGAAAGTAGCTATTTCTATCTGTAGAAGGCTACACAGAAAGTTATAGGAAAGCAGCTATTTCTATCTGTTGAAGGCTACACAGAAAGTTATAGGAGAAATAGCTGCTTTCCTATAACTTTCTGCGTAGCCTTCAACAGATAGAAATAGCTGCTTTCCTATAACTTTCTGTGTAGCCTTCAACAGATAGAAATAGCCGCTTTCCTATAACTTCCTGCGTAGCCTTCAACAGATAGAAATAGCCGCTTTCCTATAACTTTCTGCGTAGCCTTCAACAGATAGAAATAGCTGCTTTGTTAGTGGAAACTACAAAAACCATTAGAGAAAAATGCTTTTCCCCTATATAGAAAAATGTGCACAAGGACAGAGGAAAGGGGATATTTCTCTAAGTAGAAAACTGCATTCAAGGTAACAATTATCACACTAATAGTAACAAGACTAACAATAATTTAGCAAGATGCTCATAGATATACACCAACATTAACCTAACATAAACCAATAATTATCATATTAATATTAGCACTTAATATTAATAGCACTGACTCAAACACTTTGCAGAAAAATGGGGTGAGGACGATTATCAATTAGCAATCTCAAAACACTTAGCAGAAAATGTAGAAAGATGGATTATTGTCTAGCAATTCTCAAAACACTTAGCAGAAAATGGAAAAAGGTGGATTATTGTATAGTAATTCCCAAAACACTTAGCAGAAAATGGATGGAGGTGGTTTATCAACTACCAATCTCAAAACATTTAGCAGAAAATGGAGGGAAGTGATTTACGACTACCAATTTCCAAGCGCTTGGCAGAAAATGGAAAAAGGTGGATTATTGTCTAGCAATTCCCAAAACACTTAGCAGAAAATGGAAAAGGTGGATTATTGTCTAGCAATTCCTCCACCTTTTTCCATTTTCTGCTAAGTGTTTTGTTATTGTATAGTAATTCCCAAAACACTTAGCAGAAAATGGATGGAGGTGGTTTATCAACTACCAATCTCAAAACACTTAGCAGAAAATGGAGGGAAGTGATTTACGACTACCAATTTCCAAGCGCTTGGCAGAAACTGGAGGGAGGTGGAATATAGATTAGAGATTTATTGACTGGTAAAGTTTAAATTTAAAGTACAAAAAGGATTTACAAATAATGTAATTGAGCTCCTTAAACACGTAAATATCAATCTTTAAATTGGCACAAACACTTTGTGAATAAAACTGCTCTTTAAAAAGAAAGAAGGAACACACTCACATATATATAATAAGGTTATCGACTCATTCATTAGTATGTGTCTATGATTGACGACACATTTTATAATTGATCACTGACTAATTCAATTTATTGCTTAAGATTGGATTATCGTGTATATAGTTTAAGACATATTTTGATGCTTGGCTAATTTAGATTTAATTTTAAAGTGTCTGTGCGTACAGTACAAGCTGTGTTACACAATTGTCCTTAGCTACTTTATGATAATACACCAATAAATTGGAGTCCGGAATGGCCTGATGGTTAGGGCGCTCGACTCGCACTCTATAGGTCACAGGATCGAACCCCGTTATCGAATATGCTCAACTTTTCAGCCGTGGGGGCATTATAATATGAAGGTCAATTCATTATTCACTGGCAAAGAATAGCGCAAGAGCACGCGATTGGTGGTTTTGACTAGCTGCCTTTCCTCTAATCTATCACTTCAAAATTGGAAAGGGCTAACGCCCCCGAGTAGCTATAGCTGATAGTTTAAGATATATTTTACAAGTGGTCCTTGGAGAATTCAACCTAATCTTTAATGTTTTGTGTGTATAGTTTAAGATAGTGATCACTGGAAAGTTCAGAACAATCTTTAACGTGTTTGTGTGTATAGTTTAAGATATATTTTACAAACGATCATTGACCAATTCAACTTAAACATTAATGTTTTTGTGCTTATAGTTTAAAATACATTTACAACTGACCATTGGCTAGTTCATCTATCTGGGTTATAAGTATAATTAAAATGGTCGTTTGTTATTCAGTGATAAGCAACTTGTTATAAGTTTACGTCGAAGAAAATGTTATCAGTCTTAATGACGCAACAATACAATTGAGTACTGAAGATAACAATGATAACATAATAATTTTGTTGATAAAATTAAAGAAACAACCACAGTAAAATTTTACGAAATACCTCAGCCTTGCTGCTGTTAGTCGACCAGTAGTAGCAGTTATTGTTGCAGCCAAATCTTGAGATTTTCTCCAACTACGCAGTTTCTCCCGACTGTATTGGCGCCATTTGCAAAAACACTTCAGAATTCATCCTTGTTAACATAGTTTAACCGTGGTGAAAACAGAAGTCCATAAGAAAAGTTAACTAATATATAATATTTCTAAATCCTAAACGATTAAAAATTTTAGACAACATAAAAATATTACTTAAACACCTGGACTAACACGTAGTTGTAGAACTGTTGAACAGGTTTGTGCATGTGTGGCCTGACCTAGTTTCACACTAAGACAGGTACCGTGTTCGCCTGAGGCCTGAGGTAGAAGCGGAATTCAGTAACAGGATTAGCCGCTTAGTAGCCTAGTCAGTTTAAAGTTCTATAATATATTGGAATAAAATATTGAATAACTACCAGATGAGCTGACAAGACGTCATTCATTTTCTCTTTCTTTGCTCACACCTCTCTCTCACAATTTAGTATCTATAACCTTCTAAAACTAAAACAGGCTTTTCGGATTTGCCATATTTTATCCTTAATATTAATATTTTAATGTCAGTGCATGATATTAAAGAGAATAAAAGTTGCATAGCAGGTTTATCAAAATGAATATAAAATGATACGATTACAATTTTGTGAAAAATATTAAAACTTGAACGGATAACCAGCACTAACTGTCTGTTTTGTTCGAAAATAAAACCATTTCTAGTTTTAACAGGACATAACTAGGATAAGAGATTATATATATCACGAAACTAAATATATAGATAAAATAAAATCTATACAAAATAGACTACAGCTTCTATACATCAAATAAAACTCATATAAAATAACAGTTTCTATACATCATGAAAACTATATATAAAATAACAGTTTCTGATACATCATGAAAACTATATATAAGTTAACAGTTTCTATAAATCTAATAAACTCTATACAAAACACCTGATAGTTTCAATATATCATGAAAACTATATATGAAATAACAGTTTCTATACATCATGAAAACTATATATAAAATAACAGTTTCTCTACATCAAGAAAACTATATATAAGTTAACAGTTTCTATAAATCTAATAAACTCTATACAAATCAGCTGATAGTTTCTATACATCAAGAAAACTATATATATATAAGTTAACATTTTCTATAAATCTAATAAACTCCATACAAAACAGCTTACAGTTTCTATAAATTACGAAAACTTTATATAGAATAACTATACAATAAATAAAGCCTATATAAAACAGCTTACAGTTTCTATACATCATGAAAACTCTATATATAAAATAGCTATACACCAAATAAAGCCTATATAAAACAGCTTACAGTTTCTATAAATCACGAAAAGTTTATATAAAATAGCTATACACCAAATAAAGCCTATATAAAACAGCTTACAGTTTCTATAAATCACGAAAAGTTTATATAAAATAGCTATACATCAAATAAAGCCTATATAAAACAGCTTACAGTTTCTATACATCATGAAGACTCTATACAAAATAACTAACGTATTATACTAATGACGTAAAGTCTATATATAAAGCTATGAGTTCCAATTCCAGGATTCTATTAATCAGGCTCCCCAAATCCCGGGAGGGGTGTTACTAATATCCACTGATTTCTTTCTTCTCACGTTGGCAATACCTAATGAAGTTGCGTGAAAAATTTTAACCTATGTAATTTCTTCCCTGAACCTTTGATTATCAAGTTTAGTTGTTTACAATCTGGGTGTTAATATAAGTGACGATGTAAGAAGCAAGTACTGAAGAGATCCGATTCAACCACTCATAAAGTAAAAAAGAGTTTTAATAACAAAGCAATTTGAGCAAATGTTTTAAATTTTACAAATCTCCTGTGTTCCTATTATTTCTTGATGATGTAAATTACATAAAACTCCAAACAGCAACCCCTATACACATCTAACAGTTTATTTCCATCCTGGAAAGTCTGTATTATACAGGTCGCAAAATACCTGTGCACAAATTATACATTACAAGATATGCTTTGAATACTCAGATTATAAATTATAACATATATTACTTTGAACACACAAATAATACACGATAAGATATGCTTTGAATACACAAATAATACATGATAAGGGATGCTTTGAATACACAAATTATAAATTATAACATATGTTACTTTGAATACACAAATAATACACGATAAGAGATGCTTTGAATACACAAATAATACACGATAAGAGATGCTTTGAATACACAAATAATACACGATAAGAGATGCTTTGAATACACAAATTATACATTATAAGA